GTGTTGCAGTGCATAGACAAAAGGGACAGAATGTATGCACTGTGGTGCTGCAATGCTCTTTTCATCATTCAAAGCCCCTCCCTACTGTATCCTGCAGACAGCACTGACCACACTTGACAGAGTTCAGGAACAATGACCATAAGAAGATATGCAACTGCTTTGAATTAAGTGACCATTAAGCTGTTGCTATCAGCTTTGTGTCAAAACAAATTTACAATCAAATGTCCTTACTTAAAAGCATGATATGGTTTTTAAAAAACAATTAATGAAGTTACTTTTAAAATTTGCAGCTGTTGCTAATATAGTGAAATTTAATGAAAAAAAAACTTCTACATCTCTAATTCTCATTTTAAAAAAGCAATGTTTCCCTATTCCTTTTTATTTAAATTTCCATGAGATCAGCTGTCTTTAACACATACATTTACTTTTTTATATGCAACATTTTGGATGAATCATTGCAGGGATGTTTGCAGACAATGGTCAAAAGATTCAGTGTGGTAGCTGCAACAAGATGATTAAACTTCCCCTGTTTTTTACATGAATTACAAGTATGTGCATCTCTCTCAATTTTTTTTTCTCTCTCTCTCTCCTTCTCTCTCTCTCTCTCTCTCTCTCTCTCTCTCTCTCTCTCTCTCTCTCTGTGTGTGTGTGTGTGTGAGAGAGAAAGAGAGAGAGAGCTCTCTCTCTCTCTCTCTGTGTGTGTGTGTGTGTGTGTGTGTGAGAGAGAGAGAGAGAGAGAGAGAGAGAGAGAGAGAGATGTGTGGTAATAGACTATCAGGCTGTTATATGGGCTACGAGGTCCATTTTGCTGGTTTCCTTTTACAGCCCTAGCCATCACTGTTTTAAAATATAAAATTGCTTTTCAACTGTATTATGTCTTTGCATTTTTTAAAAGATTTTTCAGATTGAATATAGGAATGTATGGGCTTTTCTGTTGCTGATTTTGTATCCACACACATTCTGTATTATTTTTAATTGTACATTTCACCTTGCCAATTTTTAATTGCACAGTACTTTGAAAACCTATTGCAGTAACAACTTCCAAACAACAGGGGATGCAACAAGATTAATTACAGTAAAACAAAGTCTGAATTTTTTGAATAATCCATAATAACATTTGTATGTGCTATTTTAAGAACAAGGACTAAAATAAAACAGTGATTCCATATGGATAGGGAGGCTTCATTATAGTGACCAGAACATGCTATAAAGTGCTGTGTCTGAGATAGTGGTAGTAGTGGAGTCGGAATGGTGCAACAACTGTGTAAGCAAAATGCAGAGTTTTGGTTGCATAGTTGTCATTGCCATCTTGATTTTTTGACACACACACACACACACACACACACACATCCTACGAAACTGCACCACTTTTCAAATGTTGCTTCATTAGCATAATTCAGATTAATGTGTTAGACAGTAAATGAACAAGGTAGTTCTCTTCCAGCAGTTTGTCTTTCTAAAATATTATTTTTAATTTTCAGATTTTTTTAGATTTTTTTTTAAGCGTAACATCAAATTGAAGGAGATATTTAGGGAATGGTGAAGGGACTGGTAAAAAAAGATGGTACTGTTGTTCTGTCCTTTTTATATAATTTTTAGTTAGCTTTGGGATGTGTTATTATTCTTTACTTTCCCATGTTTCTTCCATATTTTCCCTTATTCTCTCTTAAATCCATTACAGGAGATAAAAGATGGGATAAACAAGAAGTCACTATTCTTTATAGTTTATGGATAAACCACATATAATATAGCAACTGCTGCTTTGCAACGTGAACTTCATATCTACAATTTAATTAAATTAATGTAAAAAAATAAAATAAAAGTTAGATGGACCAGAGAAACTAGTGACCCCCTCCCCAAGGAACTGTTTAGGAACAGTTGACCCAGCTACTTATATAAGCCAGATGAGAAGTCAAGACTATAGGCTCCAAATAAATATAATTTTAATTCTGTTATGGAAGCAACTTAGACCTATTTTTAAAGCAGGAAAGCACTAGTCCCGTGCTTCAGAGAAAGCTGATTTAAATCAATAAGACCTGAGTTCCTATGATTGTATATTGGTAATTCTATTAACACTGGGAGTGTCAAAAATAAAAGATTTTGTGTGAAAGTCCTTTTTACTTGTTATTACTTTAGATATGGATAACACCAATTTGTCTACTCTGTGCTGCTTAGTTCTAGATGCTGCCAGCTACAAAAGCAGAACTGGGTTTATTATCCATACTGAAATTCTGTTGCAGCCCTAATTGTGGACTGAGTTTGTTCATTACTGATTGCTCCCACTTATTTCATCCTATGCCCCAAGCATAATTTTAGTGCTTCTACTCAGATAATCAGATAACTTGTGTGACTAAATACATTATTCCAAGTATCCACTTATATTCATCCAATATTGCTCCAGCCCACCTTATCAATTGACTGTTGTTTTCTTGCCAGGAAATTGTGTGTGGCAGAAGGGAAAATGAAGCCAGTCTTGCTCTCCTTGAGTTGGTTTGCACCAAAAAGTTGAGGGCAGCAACCAATTGCTGTCCTCATTAATAGGATGAAAAGGATTTGGCAATCAGAGCAACAAATTATATGCTGGCATATTTTTTGCTGGCTCAAGAACTGAGGTTAGTAATAGTAATAGTAGTAAAGTTGGAAGGGACCTTGGAGGTCATCTAGTCCAACCCCCTGCTCAGGCAGGAAACCCTACACCATTTCGGACAAATGGCTGTCCAGTCTCTTCTTAAAAACTTCCAGTGTTGGAGCATTTACTGCTTCTGGAGGCAGGCTGTTCCACTGATTAATTGTTCTCACTGTCAGGAAGTTTCTCCTTAGTTCTAGGTTGCTTCTCTCCTTGATTAGTTTCCACCCGTTGCTTCTTGTCCTGCCTTCAGGTGCTTTGGAAAATAGCTTAATTCCCTCTTCTTTATGGCAGCCCCTGAGATATTGGAATACTGCTATCATGTCCCCCCTTGTCCTTCTCTTCGTTAAACTAGACATACCCAATTCTCGCAACCGTTCCTTATATGTTTTAGCCTCCAGTCCCCTAATCATCTTTGTTGCTCTTCTCTGTACTCTTTCTAGAGTCTCAACATCTTTTTTACATCGTGGTGACCAAAACTGGATGCAGTATTCCAAGTGTGGCCTTACCAAGGCATTGAAGAGTGGTATTAATACTTCACGTGATCTTGATTCTATCCCTCTGTTAATGCAGCCTAGCACTGTGTTGGCCTTTTTGGCAGCTGCAGCACATGCTGGCTCATATTTAGGTGATTGTCTACTAGGACTCCGAGGTACCTCTCACAGTTACTACTATTGAGCATGGTGCCACCTATGCTGTACTTGTGCATTTGGTTTTTCTTGCCTAAATGTAGAACCTTGCTTTTTTCACCATTGAATTTCATTTTGTTAGTTAGTGCCCAGTGTTCAAGTCTGTCCAGATCCTTCTGTATCTTAAGCCTGTCTTCTGGAGTGTTGGCTATTCCTGCCAGCTTGGTGTCGTCTGCAAATTTGATAAGTTCCCCATCTATCCCTTCATCCAAATCGTTGATGAAGATGTTGAAGAGTACTGGGCCCAGAACAGAGCCCTGGGGCACTCCACTACACACTTCCCTCCATATAGATGCACGGCCGGTTCAGCAGTTCCATGTTTTTATCTGGTTTTGCAGTTTTAATTATACAGGTGAATTACAACAGTTCATTTAAAAAAGTGACTTATGAGTGTTTTCACCTGACCGTTGCAGCATACCCCACGTGATCAGAATCCAGACACTTGGCAACTGGCATGTATTTATGACAGTTGGAGTGTCCCAGGGGGGTCATGTGATCACCTTTTGTGACCTTCTGACAAACAAAGTCAGTGGGGAAGCCAGATTCACTTAGAAACTCTGTTACTAATTGAATAACTGCAGTGCTTCACTTAACAACTGTGTCAAGAAATGTAAAATGGGGCAAAATTTACTTAACAAATGTTTCACTTAGCAACAGAAATTTTGGGTTGAATTGTGGTTGTAAGCCAAGGACTACTGGAAATTGATACCTCAGGCTTGGAAATTGATACCTTTTCCATATTTATATGGATTATATAAAATCTGATCTTGTTTTCTGCCTTTGCCAATTTCATCTTTTCTACTTTTAAATCTATTTAATTGTCAACATCTCTGATGCAAAGAATTTCTTGTGTAGTGAACATCAGTCTGCATTCCTCATATGCAAACTGAGAGATGCATGTTAGGAAGGCTCAGTCAATAAGGTAAAGATGCACTTTGTCACATAAAATGAAAGCCTGCATGACTCTTCCTTACCTGGAAATAGGAAGATGTTGAGTCCTTTCAAAATCTGTCAGAACTGAAGAAACTGTGGATGGAATTTGGGAGAATGGAAAGAGGGACAAGAACTTTCCAGACACCAATACATGGTTCTTTTAAACAATAGTGATATTTATTTACTACCGTACTTTTAAATATTTTATACTGATTTCTAAATGATTTGTATACAGCTCAAAAATCTAGACAGTTTTTTTTTCTGTTGATTTTTTTTATGGTTTCTTAACTATGCCATTCTTCCTCCCTTTTCAATTCTCTGTTCCTTATTGCAACTTTGATATGCTCATTTTATTAGTGTCTTCAGCACTTTCTCTTTGAGAGCTTGCTTTTAGCCTAAAGATGAAAAGAGGAGAAAGCAGCACTTTCTTGAGCTTGTCAGAATTCCAGCACTTTTGCCAAGCTGTTCTTGCTCATCTCTGGTCTGTCCTTTCGTAATGAAGTTTTTTCCACCAGCCCATTCATTCTGCAGATCCTTCTTCCAAACCCATGTGTTCCTCTAGGGCAAGGGTAGGCAACCTTGGCTCTTTTATGACTCATGGATTTCAACTCCCAGAATTCCTAAACCAGCATAGCTGGCTCAGGAATTCTGGAACTTGGAGTCCATGAGTCATAAAAGAGCCAAGGTTGCCTACCCCTGCTCTAGGGCTAGGATCTCAGTTGTGGCTTTGCCTGAATTCACTCCTCACCTCCAATTCACATAACATGGACACAACACCAGCAATGTCAAACAACTACCAATATCTTTCTTCATCACCAAAGATGTATACACCTGCTTTTAGTGTATTTATCAATCAGCATGGCACCTATGAATGCAGCTATACTTAAAGACACTTCCAGGAGTGTCCAGTGAACTCCAGGCTTCCCCTGACATTTCTTCTGCCTGCCTGCTTACTGTTTCCATTAATCAGCATGTCAACACTTGCAGGACAGATTTCAAAGAAGGAGAATGTGAACAAACACCCAGGACTTTAATAAAGCTGGGGGGGGGGAATCAAGAAATTTCCCCTAAATACTTACATAGAATGATACAACTCCAGCCACCTGTGTGAGTCCTAACAACAGGAAGGTTCATGTTTTGAAACCTGGCTGGGGAAAAGGGACAAATCTTATAGTCCCCTTTCCCACTCTCCAAACCTTTAGAACCCTCATCTCAGTTCCAGGATAATTAGCAAGGGGAAACCAATGTTTGTATTTAGCCTATTGGAAAGGAATTGATACAAGAGGTAAGTAAGCACATTATGGAGAACACACATTGAAAGGCCACTACTCCCACTTCAGATACAAAATAAAGCCTTTGTGTTGAACTTGATTAGGGTCATACCAATTTCAGCAGGGCAACCTGGACCTAGATGCTCATTAACTAATCAAGGTTGCAGAGCTGAGCTAATTTGCAATTAGCACTTTTCAGGGAAGCCAGCCTGCATGGAAAGAAAAGCAGTTTAGAAAGAGATAGCTTATTCAAACAATCTCTGTCTGCAGGTGAAGAAATTTTAGGAAGAGGGGAAAAACAGAAGAAAAGACAAAAATTCAAGTTAGGATATCAAACACAGTTCATCTATCTTTTCCATTTAAAACATATGTAAAGCTAGCCTAAGCAACATAGCCAAAGCAACAACCAGGCTCCGCCCTGAAAGTTTTCCTACTCTTGAAAATAATCTTGAAAGTAAAAAAAATGATAATATTGTGGCAGCCTTGAGGGTTTTTTTTTTTTTTTTTTTTTTGGCAGGTATACCCCATCTTTCATAGGAAAGGTCAAGTAGTGGCAAAGTTCTTGAAAGGTTAGATTTTTGCCTTCTTGTAAATAGTGAATTTGTGACTAATTACATGCATCATGGCAGGTATTTTGCAATTGTTATCAGTAAATTGCACCTTTGGGGCTATCATGGGGATAGATATAGGAAAGATCACTATGTACTTCATCTTGGCTTCTTAGAGAAAAGGGGGAATATAAATACATTGATGGACAGAGGAATGACAAAATTCCAAAATTTTGAAGGTGTTCACTATGGTGATCCACATTATATATTATCAGTTCAAAGATAGGTGGATAGCAGGTGACTGAGTAATTTCCTTCTTCTTTTCTTTGTTCTGATATTACCAGTACATTTAGCCTATTTGTTTCAGAAACACTCTTTACAGTTGCAGAAGTGAGAAAACCTGCAACAAATCCAAATGACTAACCTAATAGATGATAATGAATGGACCTCAAATTCAACATTTTATGATTACACCCCAATAGAAACAAATTATTGTAATATGGATGAGACCTCCAGATTCAGCGCTATATTTACTTGCATCCTTTATTCTCTGATCTTCTTCTTCAGCTTGGTAGGAAATAGCCTTGTTTTGTGGATCGTGATGAAATATGAGAACCTCAAATCTTTAACAAACCTCTTCATTCTGAACCTTTGCATCACTGACTTGACCTTCTCATGCACTCTGCCTTTCTGGATTGTATATCATTATTATGGATGGATTTTTGGTAAATTTCTCTGCAAGGCAGTAAGTGCTATCTTTTCTATCAGCTACTACGGTGGTGTCATCTTTCTCACTATAATGACTATCTTGCGGTACCTGGCTGTGGTTGATCCCTTATCAACCATGAGAACACAGACCAAAAAATATGGCATTCTGATGAGCATGGCCATCTGGAGCAGCAGTATAATGGTTACGGTACCTGAGATCCTTTTTATTGGAGTCATAATTGATAATAATGGCAAACAACACTGTGAGTATGAAGACTCATTCCTCTGGAAACTGATAGAGATGAGTCTGCAAGTAATGTTTTTCCTCCTGTCTTTTCTTATTATTATAGCTTGTTACATTGGGATGCTTAAGATTCTGCTTAGATCAAGATCTCAAACGAAGTACAGAACTGTGAGACTCATATTTGCTATTGTGGTGGTCTTTTTCTTGAGTTGGGCTCCTTACAATGTGTTTAACTTTGTGTATGTTTTGTCTATTCAGCATGTCATCAAGCCAGAATGTCAAACTCGCAATCATATATTTTTTGCTTTTGATATCAGCCGCAAAGTAGCCTACTGTCACTGCTGCATCAACCCAATTCTCTACGTCTTTGTTGGAGTGAAATTCAGAAGGCACCTAAAACTCTTGTACAAACAATTGTCCCTTTGTCAGGGCAGAATCTCTCCCTCCAGCCCAAGATTGCATTCATCTCATTTGGGTCCATATGATGATGCATCCATATACTGAAGCAAAGATTCCTGGACTGGATGAAATGCAAAACAGGACAACCAATATGAGAAGTTAAACAGAATAACTGACAAGCTCTTCAGACATGCAAAGTGCACCTAGTCTTCCTGCTTGTTTTCACTGAAGTTTTCTGCCTTTCTAGCAAAAAAAAAAAAAAAGGTTTTTCCAAATAGACAATCAGAATTTTTTTGTTGATTCCGCTTTTTTCAAATTAGAAATAAAAGGTTCATTCTGTTTTATGTAATGCCAATAAATATTTTTGTTTTTAAGATAATATAATAGTTTTAATTTTTGCAATATTATAATGATTTACAAATCTATATACTGTTATGTAGAATTTGATCTGCCAACATTATTTGAAATATATGTTGAATGAGAAGAATTACAACTGTGTCCAAAGGCATGAACTGCCTTCTAACCTTAATGGATTTAGTGAAAGCATAATAACATAAAAATGGGAGAAGACTGAATGAATATAGAATAGTTATAAATAGCAGATAATAAATAGAACTCTCCTCTGATTCCATTAAAATTCAGTGAAAAAGATAGATTTATTTCCAAATGAGAGTGTTTTCTCAAAGCTGCTTAAAATAAAATCTGATAAAGAAAAAATCAGTCATAAATATATAACATCAATATGGTTGAAATGTGTAATTTACTGATTCTTTAATAGGCTTGTCAACCTGAAAGCATTATAATATCTTTAAATCAATATGGTTCCGAAAGTCCTCAGTGATCTTATATACATGATCATTCTTGAATACATAACAATTATACATATTAAATTATGCTTTTTATTATTAATCTCAAAATCTATAATCATTTAATATATATTTGTCATTAGTCATTTCTGTCTTTATGATTTCTGAAAGAATTTATTCCTTGCATTATCAATAAATGAAATGCTGATTTGCCCATGTTCCTAATAAAGTTATTCATAAGCATAGAACTAATTGGTGTGATTTTTAAAGACTTCCAAATAGCTATTTCGGCAAAAGTATTTCATTTTGTCACAATTACTGATAATAGCACTCCAAACTAAGTAAGAACGTGGAATTGTATTTCACACTTCAAGACTTAAACAACAAAACAGAAGCAAAATTCACAAAAATTAAAGATGTATTACAATCAGGCTTATTGGAAAACAAAGCACATTAGAAAGTGTGGGTGTGATTATTTTATTCTATTTTGCTACAGTTAAAATATTTCTGTGTATAATAATATGTGCACACACATTACCCAAGCAAAGAATTTTGCATCCTGGTTTTAATATTTGCTACTTTTCTTTCATTAAATCTTTGTAGCTTTCCAGTTTCTGCTATACTGCAAATTATAGGACCTACAATTAATAGCTCAGCAATATCTGAAAGGCTGTGGTTTTGCCAGTTTTTGATTAAATATACATATTTCATGACAGATGGTTGTTTCAATGGGTGATTTAGCACATCTCATAAAAAGAAATCTGAATTGGCTGGATTTACAAGTAATACTGAACTTTAAACCACAGATCTACAAATTAGAGCAGTTAGGTAAGCCAAATAATTAAATTATGAGGTCACTATATGAACCCAGATAGTGTACAAAAGTGGTAAGCTAATCAAGGATCAAGAAGATACTCCTAAAAATAACTACATATAATCTGAAATACAGCAAATAAAAGATATTTTAATACCATCCAACAAGGAGAGAATAGTATAAATTTGTCTTCAAGAGCTGGACATGCTAACCTAAATGGCCTAGCAGGTCTATGACTTTAATGCCTAACATGGAGAATAACTGAAGTTGGCTAAAAACTCAACTTCATATTTTGATGCCTCAATTATCCTCAATTTAGCTTAGCAATTTGTTTTTCTTTTTGCCATGAGTATTGAAACTGAGTATTGAGATTCAAAGATTGAGCTTTGAAAATATATGTTAATTCAGGGGTCCCCAACCCCCCGGGCCATGGATCAGAACTGGGCTGTGACATGCCAGCAACTGGTCTGCACAAACAAGCAAAGCCCCATCTGTGGAATGAAGGCAGCACACAAAACCACACACCCTCTGGTCTGCAGAAAAACCTCTCTCCACGGAATTGGTCCCTAGTGCCCAAAAGGTTGGGGACTTACTTACTTACTTACTTACTTACCTACTTATTTATTTAGTTAGTTAAGCCAGATCAGGCTATCAATGACTAGTAATTTTGATGGGTCTTCAGTGCTGCTTATCTTGAGAACTATAGGCAGTTTGCCTCAAATAGTGATTGCTAGGAAGAGCAGTGGAAATGCTCAAACACATCTAGTTGACCATTGTGTGAAACAGAGTACTGGATTAATTGGGCCTGATCCAGAAGAGTCTTTTTATTTTCTTATCTGTAAGGTCTATACTTCACTTATAAGACAGGAGATAGAATTGAAGTTCAATCAGCATTTAAATTTTCCAGACTGTGAGACCAGTTGTTACTGTATCCCAGAATTATGCTTCCTGTAAATCACGCTAGTAACTTGTGCAATAATCTTTATTCTGAGATAGAGGCACTTCCACAGGCTAAAATTATCTTTGCAAACATCTTTAATCTGAAGACCTCAAGAATGTAGAGAGCAAACATGGAGCACATTAGCCATTAATACTCTCCATAAACAACTGAATCAATAAATTTATACAGCTATTGATGAAAAAACATTTATTATTTTTATAGTTAGTGTATCAGATTAATGCAATACCAGAACTGTAGAAAAAGCCAAAGAAGAAATTAAATTGCAAACTACTTTTGTTTTATTATTACCAAGAAAACTGCATGGACGTTAATGAAATCACCTTTATTAGAAGCACATTTTATTTTTCATAAACGTATGAGCCAATATTCTTTCCAATATTTCACTAAATGATTTCATAGCTCCCCTCACCATCACTATATCCTTACATTTTTTTTACTGGGGAGAAGTTTATATCTGATAAAGTTTGTAGCCAATCATTCAGGTTACCATTATTCTTTCTCTTTTCAAGTCTTTCATGGACTAGAAAGATGGATGAGGAATCCATCTTGCATCCAGATTCTTTAATTTTTCCTTTCAATCTTCAAAGTCTATGCTTTTTGCAGCATCATTTAAAAATAGTTCTCAACTTATGACCACAACTGAGCCCAGAATTTTGGTTGCAAATCATTGTGATTAGACCATCACATGACCTGACTCAATTTTTAGCAGGTCACTATAGTTATTAAGCAAACTACATAGCTATTAACTGAATTCAACATATCCAATGAACATTTTTTGATATTTAATACTGGAAAATGGCAAAATATGTTACAAATTGCAGTCAATTGTAAATGTGAGTTGGTTGCCAAATGCCCAAAATGTGAACACATGACCAGGATGTATGTGTATACCAGTTATAACTTTGAACGGCTGTTAAATGTGCAGTCATTAAGCGAGGACTATTTATATCATCAAATAGATTAGCAAAAAGAGATCATTTCAATGGAATTCATATGCCTTGGAAGTTATTCTGTCACATTCCTCATCCATGCAAACAGCACACTTTGTGTGTCAATATCTGATAGGAATATACAATTTTAAGTTCCTCATAATCACAAATTATCACAACTCTTCTCTTTTTTTTCTTGAAGGGTGCAGCAAGTATCAGTTCCAAAGACACAGATCATGATATCATAGTGCACTTGTTTAAATTTGTGTTACAATATCACACAAAATCACATACAAAGAGATGAGTTTACATTGTGATGTACTTGTCACTTGCCCCTTCCACAAATGCTTATAGATACAATCACTTTCCTTCCATATTTTCTGCAGTGTTTTTTTTTCTTTCTCCTGAAGTCCCAGAGCTTGCTGTCTCTTCAGAGACCTGAAAATTGTTTCTGAGTTTTATTTCCTGTCTCTCTTGCTTTCATCTATAGGCAGTCCTCAACTTATGACAGTTCATTTTACTAACCATTCGAAGTTACAACAACACTGGAAAAAGTGATTTATGACCATTTTTCACATGACCATTGCAGCATTCCCCCATGGTCACATGATCAAAATCCAGACGCTTGGCAACTCATTTATATTTATGATGGTTGCAGTGTCCCAGGGGTGTCATGTGATCACCTTTTGCGCCTTTCTGACAAGCAAAGTCTGTGGGGAAGCCAGATTCACTTAGCAATTCTTTTACTAACTTAACAACTGCAGTGATTCACTGCAAAAAACTGTAAAATGGGGCAAAAAACCTGTAAAATGGGGCAAAACTCACTCAACAAATATCTCGCCTAACTATAGAAAATTTTGGCTTAATTATAGTCATAAGTCGAGGACTACCTGTACTGGGCTTCTTATTTATATGATTGTCTTCCTTATGGAGAGTTATTTTTTCTGTCATCTCATAATGAGGCATCTCTCTTTTTTTAACTGATAAATTTTTTATTTTCCATTATTAGCTTGAAGTGCAGCTATTCATTGTTCCAGCCATTTGACTTTTTATTCAGTAATCATTTTACATCTTCATTTGCTACAAAGGAGGCAAAATATTTTAAGAACCAAGAATATTCACAAGGAGGATTAAAAAATAAATAAATAGCATGATTGCAACCATGTACTCAGAGGTATAACACTTTTTTAATACCTCTGTTATGGACTCATTCTGATTCCCCCAAAAATTCCATAACCAAATTACCACTTATTTTCCCTGATTACTTTTTTGGGGAGGGGGTCAACTGACATTTTGGGATACTGGTACTCTTGTCCATTCTGCTGCATTAAGATATGTCATAACTAGCGGTTATAGTACATGTGATCTCAGCATAGCTGGAGAATAGCTAGTCAAGGAAGGCTAGCATAGGGCTTTAAAAGGCTTGCGCTTATTTCCCACTTTTTGAGAATAAAAGAGGAGTATATTCTTTACCTGGAATTTACCTAGATAAACATGATTCTTTCACCTAATCCTTTTTAATAAGATAAAGAAAATCACCAAATTAGAGAACACATAGTCAGTTGGTTCAGAGCTCTCATCTTCCTATCTGTGAAGCACCACAAAGATAAGCCATTATAAGGGTAGTCTTCAACTTAGGACCACAATTGAGACCAGAATTTCCATTGCTAAGCAAAGTAGTTATTAAATGAGATGCCTTGTTTGCCATGATTGTTAAGCAAATTATTGCAATTATTGAATTACTGCAAGTGAA